TATTTCATATATATATCAAAATATTTCTGTGATACTACTTTTACTTTCACACCCTTTATTTCATATATATATCAAAATATTTCTGTGATACTACCTTTCTTTCACACCCTTTATTTCATATATATATCAAAATATTTCTGTGATACTACCTTTCTTTCACACCCTTTATTTCATATATATTGTTGCGTCAGCGAAGTCACGTGTCTAGTTTCTAGAACTATCCTGTACCTTGGCGAATGCTCTAGCATTTACTAGATATAGGGTAGTCTGCTATATAAAAGAGGGTGACAACGTGACGGAATAATAGTGTGTGTAGACAGTGAGTAATTGATCTGCAGTCAGAGAGTATTATTGAGCACGTTCGTTGTTATAGCGTTTGTATTAGCGCGATTGTTGAAATTAAGTGTATCGTAAAGTTATATTCGGAAAGAATAAACCAGTTTTATTAAGTAAGGACTTGTGTCGCTAAAGTTTCGTCGGAACGAAGTAACGGAAAGTTAACTAACAAACGGAGACGTAACAATATCAAAATATTTCTGTGATGCTACTTTTCTTTCACACCCTTTGTTTCATATATATATATATATATATATATATAAATATTTCTGTGATACTACTTTCACACCTTTTATTTCATATATATATATATATTGGAAGAAACGTCGCTCACTTTAATGTGCTTCTTTTCAAAACGTCCTATGTTTTAGTGTGCTGCTTTTCATAATGTTTTACTTCAACCGTTTTATGGTTCTAACATGAGTGGTTTTGGATAGCCTAACCTTTGTGATAAGGGAAGAGGATGAACAGGCCCGGATTATGTTTATAATTGTTCTTCGTACTTAAAACATGAAATAATATCACATTATTTGTTAAAGTATATCAGTATATGTTACATATTTGACAGTTCAACAGGGTGTTACTGTTTCTCAGAAAATGATACTCTGTTAAATATTTGGCAGTTCAAAAACATGTCTGTCCCCCCCGAGAGATTTAGTTGTGTCGTATCCAATACTGAGGAGACGAAAAATCCTATAACCAGTTTATTTAAAAACCCAAATACATAAGTTAAGGTCTACATTCAAAATTTTTATACCACGTGTTTAACACGCAGGATTTCAGTTGATATGTCAAGTACTGTGTTAGTTGCAAGTAATGTGTCACGTGGCTGATTTCTTTCTGACAATATTACACATTGGTAATGTTATGAATGTTGTAGCTGTTCAAGTATTAAATAATGCGTCACATGGCTGTTCTCACAGTATTACACACGGTTAATGTTACGAATACCGTAACTGTTCAAGTATCAAGTGTCAATTCAAGTATTGTGTCAGGTGGCCGTATGGGTCGTTCTTAGCTACGTGAGCCTTTTCGGGTAAAATTCTGTCTAAAAAAAATAAAAAAAAATACTAGAACTTTAACATAGCGTTTTAAAAGTTTAAATTAAAACTATGATCTAGTTTTCATTTTAATTTGTAGTACGGCCTTAATAAGGATCAGTTGAGTGGTCAGGGTGCTTGTAAAAGAACCTAGAGTATGATATATAGATACAAAGAATGTTTGAACTGTGGATTTAGGATACATCAGTTGTCATCAAAATGGGTAGCCGGATCGAAACCCGTTCCTGAACACGCTCGCCTTTGCAAGATTGAGACGTTATAAGGTGACGCCGAATCCCTCTCTGTTCGTTGGTATAGACTAGTCCAAGAGTTGGTGGTGGGTGGTGTTGACTAGCTGTTTTCACTGTAGGCTATGGCTTCAAAATTAAGGACGGCTAGCGTAGATAGCCAGCCCACGAGTAAACTTTGCAGAAAAATTAAAGAAAACTATCAAAATGAGTGCGGCTAAGCAACATAGCCTTTGTGTAACACAGATATGTGAAGTGGATGAATGCTATAGCTTATTTAAACTGTGAACCAGTTATTGTTGTATTGATTTGCTGTTTATTGAAACCACACAAAACATAGAGAAAACCTGTAATACTGGGATTCCCGTAATGCTTATTTAGAATATTTTACCAGAAATTAAATATTATTTATCGACAACCTTTACAACTGATATAATATTACGTTTTTCAGACACAGGCTGCCGTTATATTTCACGTTTTTTAAAGTAGAGAGTGAAAATGCGGGCGTTTTTAGATAGTTTTACATGGACTGAAGTTAACCCAGTATGTGACTTGATGCTTGAACGTTGTCTGTACCAAACCTTGAACAAACTTTCATGAGTTAGTTGTAGGTGGAAACACGTCTGCGAGATGATGTAATTGTAAACGCAAAATCAAGAACATCTGTTTGTTGAAACGTGACCTGTGGCTTAAAAGTAAGAAAATTTGTAGATTAAATACGAATTTTCCGTTGAAATTATAAAACCTTGTACAATATGTGGTGTATTCGGTTTGCCTTATATCTACGAACATGTGTATGCTAGTTGAGAGTAATCGGTTCATTGTAGCCTTATTTCAGACAGTTTATTAGAAAGAAATACCAAGTGTTAACCCTGTTTCCCCTATTGTGTGCACCGTATAAGTGATCAATATTATTTTTTATCTAATCCTTCAGACGTAAAAGAAGTAGGCTACGATATCTGGGAAGGCCTCCCGTCAGACTCTGAGAACGAGGCTGAAGACAAGGACGACTTTGTGTTCGAGGTTAGCGATACGCCTCACCTCCCGACTTTTCGTGTTCGGTTGCCAGGCACGGACAATAGGATGTAAGTGTTCATACTGTGTAGTAGTTTCGTGCAGTTTTCTTGTTAAATTTAGTTGATATTCACCATTATATAGGGATATATATATTAGATATACACGGTTAGCAGAGAGCACAAACTACATGTGCGGATCTGTTGGGTTTTTTCCGCGAAAAGTTATAAAATGCTTTAGTTTATGAAACAACGAAACATATAATTCAGTGGTCTGTTACATCTGTTATTGTAATGTATCAAGTATTAAATTCTTATATTACATTACATGTTTGCTGTATCGAAGTTCAAATGTTTCAGCCCATTTGTGTTTCTGATTAAGTTATTATGATAGCAGAAACGTTATGTAGATTGGAATAAATGTAACCGAAGAGCATGAGCAGAGATGTAAATTATAATACCACAGGCTTCAATAAGCAGCTTTTCATTCGGTGTTTAAATAAATTATAATACCATAGGCTTCAATAAGCAGCCTTTCATTCGATGTTTATATAAAGTATAATACCACAGGCTTCAATAAGCAGCCTTTCATTTGGTGTTTATATAAATTATATTACCACTGGCTTCAATAAGCAGCCTTTCATTTGGTGTTTATATACCTTTGTGTTTGCTCTGGGTAGTTACTGTCCGGTTATAAAGCTGTAACAGTTAACGCTAAAGGAAAATTTCACATAGGGCCATAGTTTTGTACCATGTGTTTACATTCCCTTTTAAACTGTGATGAACTAATGACTCGGAAACAACTGATGAATTTGGTAAAACATTAGTTTGTGAGAATTGATAAAAGCCTTGTTTTGCACGTGCCTTTACCTTTAACGATGCTTGGCAAGTGATATTGACATTATATTTTAATTACAAATCTATCTACCATCTTATTCAGTACAAAGAGTACGCCCTCTACATTATGTAATGTTAACGATATAGAGATGTAAAAAAAAAAGTATTTGTAGAAACTGTTAGTGAAGACTTGTTTCATTAAATATTTACTCAGTTATTTCTATTCGACACGATTAATGAGTGCGTTATTTTATGTCTTTTAAAATGCGGTCCATGTTTAATGAGTCGTACGTAGTTATGAATATTTATTTTGATAGTAAGAACATAATTCAGTTTAAAATGTAGATGTAGGTTTTTTGTTACTTCAAAATACGTATAACAGATGAAAAAATTTATATATTCATATGAAATTGCCCGTATCTTATCCAGACTTTCGAACTGCATTCGCCTTACTGATGTTCTTCGACAAATTGGACTTACAAAAGAAGAATTCGTTCAGTTTTATCGCAATATTGAGATTTTCTCAATTCCTAAGCACGAGTTTGACGGAAGCGCCACCTGCAGACAGCTTGGGACAGACACGAAACTGGACCCGCTGTTGATTAGTTCCGAGGATAGCGAAAAGACTACAGTCGACGTTCTTAACCTGAGCAATGATGTAAGAGAAGTTCTTGGGATTGAGATAGTTACCCTTAGGTAGGGATGTTCGCTTGTTCTAGGAAATTAGTGAACACTTTAACCTTCAAGATTTTCCCAAATGGAACAGGACGTTAGATTTCGTTGATGATGCTTCGTTTAAATTATTAGAAAGTGCTTGGAATACGATTGTTCTTGGAATAAAGCCAGTTGTACAAAGATGTGCGAGCGCAACATCAATCGTTTCGAGTTGCCATGGCTACTGCATGCTAGGTGATACCAACGTGAAAGTTTGCAGAAGAGTCTGTTTTCCAAAACACGCGAAGCACTAACGTATAACGTAATCACGTGACTTATTGTTGTATTTTGTGAGCCATCTGTGGTCATGTAGACCTCTTCCCATAATATTAGACTTACTTAAGAATGTGTGACATGGAATGCGGTTAACTCGCAATGTTTTAGGAATGAATAAATATCTGCTTTGTTTTGCTTTATACGTATAATTAACAACAACAGAAAAGAGAAAAAAACGAGATCACCAACGCTTATAGTGTGGTGTTGTCATATCTAGATTGGATGTACATATGTACATAAGAGTTAGAATACCTATAAATTATTATAATCCGTGAAAATTATTAATTTCTAAAATTGTTTTCTTGTTGGTTGTGCTATATTAAAGTCGTTTTCTTAAACCTGCAGTCTTTTTGAGTGTTTTGATTATAAACGCCCTCTATATTTTTCATTAATTATTTGTAACAGATTTTTTTCACTAATTATTTATAGCATTTTAATTATTTTTAACAGATTTTTTTTTCACTAATTATTTATAGCATTTTAATTATTTTTAACATTTTTTTTTCACTAATTATTTATAGCATTTTAATTATTTTTAACAGATTTTTTTCACTAATTATTTATAGCATTTTAATTATTTTCACAGATTTTTCACTAATTATTTATAGCATTTTAATTATTTTTAACAGATTTTTTTTCTTTAATTATTTATAGCATTTTAATTATTTTTAACAGATTTTTCTTCTTTAATTATTTATAGCATTTTCATTATTTTTAACAGAAAACTTTTTAATTATGAACAACTTAAGCTCACACACACAACGGAAGCTATATAGTTTGGGCAGTTTATCTGCAGGTCATCATTTGTCTATTGTACGAAGTGTTTCCTGGAAACTCTTTATGTAGTAAAGCTGGGAACTAGCTTAACCATTTTAGTTACCATAAATGTGAATTACGTTATTTTGTTTGAAAAAATAGCTATGTTTGTTTATGAACGTAGTGTGTCTAGTTAATAACGTAGAAGGTAAATAATTAACTGTCACGAGTTACATGTTGCAATATTAATATGCTGTAATGAATCAACTTTTCATTTGCTGTGTGTATGAAATTCGTTTTTAGCGTAAAGCAACGCAATGGGCTACCTGCGTTCTGTCCTCCAGTGGGGAATCGAACCCCGGATTTTAGAGTTGAAAATCTGTAAACTTACCGTTGACAAACCATGGGACGTCATCTTGGTAACCTTTATTTTATACACAAACACACACACTTTACTAAAGTCTCAGCAGACTGCTTAATAAAAGAAATAGCGCCATAAACTTCAAAAAGTAAAGTAACATTTCTAAAGCCCTTACAACAATGAAATTTCTGTTTGTATTAATTAACAGAAAATGTAAATGTTATACATTGGCAGGTAGTCTTAAAATTCTACTCCTATTGTTTGATTAATTATTTTTAATGGGGAAGTGCAATTGAGGAGGATGGTAATGCCCATTGTTTATTTCTTTTTGGAAGATTTTTCCAGTGGCCTTTCATTTAGGTTGAAACGAGTGTAACAAATATGTATATACAAGATTAACTATTGATAAAGTACTGTACATCTGTCGCGGACGCCCCGAAAAAAAGTCTTCCGGTGGGACAGCGGTTAACCTACTGATTTACAACGCTAAAAGCCGGGGTTCGATTCCCCGGGGGGAACACAGCAGATAGCCTATTGTGGCTTAAACAACTGCCCACCTCTTCCAAGTTATTATATTTTACGAAGGACACTTTGTAAAGTCAAGTGTGTGGATTACACGTGATTTTATTTTCTTTGTTCACCAATATACTTGTAAAAATATTAGAATTTTGAATATGATCCTAATTTCGTGTAATATTATTCAAACCAACTTCGAATACGTAAAACATAATGATACATTAAGTATGTCACTAAGATTGAACGTTTTTCCTGTTTTTACAAATATAATACACTTTATTAAAAAATATGGCACGAGAATCACTAGAAATGGAAACATCAAATAGAACAAAAATAGTTTTCACTTTTATATCACGATGTATGTAAGTGCGTGCTAAATAAGATAACTTCACCAGATGGACACCAAGACAAATTCTGAAAGAAAACTAAATATTCAATCGTAATCTTCACTCGAACTGATACTCGCCATGATACCCGCGTCATCTCACTAGTTCAACTTAGACAGACAGGGACAGCAGAGTTTCCACATATGATCGACACGCCAGACAAACGTGTTAGGCTTAAGGGCAAGATAAACGCAGTTCAAGTTGGGCACGTCGTTAATTTTAAACAAGTGCAAAAACACGTCTTAAAATTTTTTAAATTGCATATCTAAAGATTTCTTTACATTTTCAGTTATGAGTAAGTTGAATTTATCATGTTTATATGTGACATGTCAATATTTTTCTAGATTTTGGTGTAATTACGACGTGAATGTTTTTGGTTTCATACTTATGTTGTTTTGTTAAATTAATGTACTTCGTTTACATTACCTGTGAATTCGACCTTCGAAGACTGTCTTAAAGCAGTATTTGAGGGGAAGTATTTATCTTGTGTGATAATTCTGCGCTTTGAAGACAAATAACATCAGAAAATATTTCCTTATTTAAATATTTATTGTTGACTTAACTATAAAATTATCGCGTCACGTTACCGTTGCATATTACCACCAGTTTTTATGCTACAGATAACGCGCTTGGTAACATTAAGGTTATACATTATCACCAGTTTTTTTGTGCTACTGATAACGTGCTTAGTCACGTTAAAGCTCCATTTTGTCACAGTTTTTATGTTACAAATAAACTGCTTAGTGTCACGTTAAGGTTACAGTTAACTTAAAGTGTGACAATTCCATATATACACATACATATGGTTACAACAATCCCACTTGCATTAACTCGCAACTTTTCTGGCCTGTTCCAAATGTTTAACATGGATACGAATTGATGTGACTATTTTTAACAACTGTCTTAACATTGAAAACGTTTATATGAACCTTAATATTTGGAGCACGTCGTCCGATACAACATCTTCTCAACGACAATATTCTTGAAAGCTGTATTTTCAATGTTTAATTTACTTGTTTTGTACTCTTTGGGTATCACCTGTTGTGTTTGTGAAGAAGGATGGACCCACAAGGTTATGCATTGACTACTGAAAGGTGAATGAGGCTACAAAGAAAGATGCCAATCCACTGCCAAGGATTGACTACTTTGGATGTTCTATCTGGATCAAAATGATTTTCAACATTGGATCTTCAGAGTGGGTAGTGCGGGTCGACAAAGCAAGTACAGAAGATAGACTTTACTGCAGGAAATGGATTTTGGAACTGTCACTTTACCATTTGGATTATGGAGTATGACGTAACTGAACTACCAGTGAAAATTGTACTTGTATATTTGGATGACATAATTCCACATGAGAAGACCTAGGATAATGCTTATGATTGCCCAAGGAAAGTTATGCATATATTTAAAAAGAATCTTCATCTGAATCCCAAGAAGCATGAATTTTTTCATCAATAGGCGAGTTTCTTCGGGCTCCTTGTCAACTGAGAGGGAGTGTCTACAAACCAATCAAAGATTTAATCTGTCTAGAATTGCCCAACACCAATGAACCTGCATGATACAAGAGGATTTCTTGGACTGTGTACTAACTATCATCATTTTGTAAAATCATCCTGTGACATAGCTTATCCCAAATCACTTGAAAAACCAAACAAGTTTTGTTTGACTGCTGATTGTGAACAATCATTCAACAAACTGAAGAAATAATTGACTATTACACCTGCATTAGTAATGAATGCTACAGAAAAAAGGTTGTTGAAGTGCCAAGTCATTGCCACCATTACATAAATAGACAAAAGTTTACTCTTTGGACCGATCATGCAACATTGAAGCGACTGGTGAATTTTTTTTTTACAATTCAGAAGGCTAGATACCAAGATAGCTTCAATAACTCCATGAGTACAAATAAGATCATGAATTGCTCCAGATGGAACCATGGAAATGCTGACACAATATCATGAAGACTGTGTTAATGAAGAATATAACCACTGTGAAAAGAGGGAAACACATGATAGTCAAGATGACCAACCTAAAGTACAACAGCGTGTAATCCAAGATGTGACGTCTACAAGTGTTTATAAATAACTAAAGTAGTTCACAACTCAACTAAAAGATGCTCAGAATAAAGATAAGAGTTTGAAACCAATTATTCAGTGGATATAGAATAATGTAGGAAAACTCTCGTGGCAAAGAGTTACTGTACACCCTGAAGACAAAGGTGAACTTGGCACAATGCGATTCATTATGGTTATAAGAGGACTCGTTAAGTTGGAAATGGGAAGATGTCGGTGGGTAAAAACAGTTGGTATTTTCATAGTCTCTAAATTCTGAAGCAGTCCATCTCCATAACCTTCCAAGGGCTAGACACATAGACATTAAAAAGATATTGGAGTGAGTTGATTGCCGGGAATATACTATGAATGAAAAGATGCAAAAGATAAAAAAGTATGTACAACTCTAGCAATATTTTGTTGGAGCATCACTTGAGAGAGCTATTGATGTATTTTGTCCTATGCCACAAAGTAACAGTGGAAATAAATACCTCATGATTGTGATGAACTATTTCAACAAATAGCCAGATCATATGCTTTTCCTAACCAGGAAGCAAAAACTCTAGCAAGGAAATTCGTCAATGAATTCTTTTCAGTATTTCATACACTTATGGAACTTCACTCAGATGATGAATAGAACTTTGAATCAACATTTTTTGTGGAAATGTATTAAATCCTAGGAATCAAAAAGAACAAGGCAACATTCCTTTAGCCATCTTTTGACAACATGGTGGAAAAATACAACCATACACTGTTAAAACAATTAGCCATTTAGGTAGATGAATACAAAACAAAAAACGTGGCCTCCAAAACCTTCCACCGCTACTTATGGATTATCGAACAACAGTACATGAAGCTACAGGTAACAGGGAGAGAAATTAAAGTGCCATTGGATCTTTCGTGTTTGCATCCAGAGGATAATCACTCAGCATAGTCTTACACAACACAGAACATATAAAGAGATAAAGAAACACCATCGATGTCAAACATAACTTTAGTCGAGAAACACTTAAATCAGCTAGTGATAAAGTGAGAAGTCACTATGATGCTAATGCTGATAACACCGGATTCCATTAAGATGGCATGTTATGGCTTTACAATTCTTGTTGCAAGAAAAACAAACTCCAAAGTTAAGCTGATATTGGGAGATCCATATTGTTGTGAATCAATAATGTAGTTTGCAGAATCCAGAAATGCAGGTGGTCCAAGTCAAAGATCATCAACCATAATCATATTTGGACGCAGATCAATGAGATAATGGTCAATTG